TAAGCAAAAGACAAAGACCAGTGGCTCAGCTACTCAATGGAGATGGAAAAATGATAACAGAAGACAAAAGGCAGAACTGCTCAGTTCCTATTTTAGCTTAGTCTTTTCCCAAAGGATGGCCTATGACCCTCCAGACAATTGTGAAAGTGGAAAGGACAAGATTGCAGCTGGAGACTGATAAACAAATACAGTGGTGCCTCGCTTAATGATTGCCCCACATTACGACGAATCTGCTTTACGACGATCTTTTTGCGATCGCAAAATGATGGTCTAAATGGGGGAATTTCACTTTGTGATGATCGGTTCCTGCTTCGGGAACCAATTCTTCGCAAAATGATGTTTTTCTAACAGCTGATCGGGGGTTTCAAAATGGCCACTGAATAATTAAAATGGTGCCCCGCTGTGTTTAGGGACGGATTCCTCGCTATACAGGCAGCGAAAATGGCCGCCATATGGAGGATCTTCGCTGGACGGTGAGTTTTTACCCCATTGAACGGGTTTCAATGCGTTTCAATGGGGTTTTAAATTTCGCTTTACGATGTTTTCGCTTAACGTCGATTTTCCTAGAACAGATTATTGTCGTTAAGCTAGGCGCCACTGTAGTGAAAGAATACCTCACTACCTTGAACAAGTTCAGATCTCCAGGTCCAGATGAACTGCATCCAAGAGTCAAGAACAAATCCTGCCAGAATAACCTGATTTCATTTTTTTATTCAGTAACTTCCCTGATAGACAGAGGGAATCCTGTAGAACGTCGATTTTCCTAGAACAGATTATTGTCGTTAAGCTAGGCGCCACTGTAGTGAAAGAATACCTCACTACCTTGAACAAGTTCAGATCTCCAGGTCCAGATGAACTGCATCCAAGAGTCAAGAACAAATCCTGCCAGAATAACCTGATTTCATTTTTTTATTCAGTAACTTCCCTGATAGACAGAGGGAATCCTGTAGACATAGTATATTTATTCAGTAACCTCCCTGATAGAGGGAATCCTGTAGACATAGTATATCTTGATTTCAACAAAGCTTTTGACAAAGTGCCCCATGATACTCGGATTAGCAAGCTAACTAGGTGTGGGCTGGATAGAACAACTGTCAGGTGGATATAGTGTGCTACAGAATTGTACTCAGAGAGTGATGATTAATGGCTCCTTTTCAAACTGTTAGGAGGTAACAAGTGGGATACCCCATGGCTCAGTCCTGGGCCTTCTGCTCTTCAAATTTTTATTAATAACCCGGATCAGGGGATGCAGGAAATGCTAATCAAATCTGCAGATGACACAAAATTGGGTAGAATAGCTAATACCGTGGAAGACAGAAACAAAATTCAAAACTACTTGGATAGGCTTAAGCATGTGGTTGAAAACAACAGAATTAAATTTGACGGATAAGTGCCAATTACTACATCTAGGAAAAAGAAACCAAACATACAATTGCAAGATGGGGGATACCTGGCTCAGCAATGCTACAAATGAGACAGGAGTTGTAGATCACAAGCTGAATATGAGCCATCCATGTGATGTGGGTTGGAGCAGTACAGCAATGGAATCAATTCCCTCGAGAGGTGGTAAGTACTCCAACACTGGAGGCATTCAAGAGAAATTTAGATCTGGCAGATATCCTTTGATTTGTATTCCTGCACTGAGCAGGAGGTTGGATTCAATGACCTTCTATGCCCCTTCCAACTTCATTATTCTATGATTCAATGAAAAGACCAAAAGCTCAAATTGTAGGAACATAGTTTCCATTTGCAGGGCTGTCGAGCAAAGTCTGAGTAAATGTGGACTGCTAGTTAATATTTGATATATAAACATTCCAGAAAAAGATTGCAAACTGGTATTACTAAGTGGCATGTTATCTTTCATATGATATATAGAGCTGGTCCATTTTCTTAGAACAAATATTTAGCAGTGGATTGCAAGCATATCTTAAGCCTCTAGAAAACACTTAACATTTCATGTTACTTGTCTGGTTTTGCAGCTGCCACAGATACATAACCATTATTTAGCAGTAACCAAACATTTTTAGAAGTAGGGGCTAATTGGCAATATGGGGAAAAACTAATCTAGTGAAACTTATGCCAATTTTCTGGCATAATTTTGGCAGGCAGAAAGTATAGCATACTAGCACACTGAGTAATGCATATCCCAGGAAAATTATGGTTGAGGCTAACAAATATTAAGTTATCCTGATTTTCAAAATAGCATCAATTTGACAGGAGCACTGGTCTGATTACAGGAGAACTGAAGCCTCTACATCCTCTCTATTTTCTGAATATTCTGTTAGCATCTCTCTTGTATTCTAAAAACAGTGGCTGTGATTTGCTAAATTCGAGTGGGTGGCAGTAAGGTAGCATTTGTGCCCCTCCATGTCCAATAATTTAGTACCAGTGAACAAAACATGTCACCTGCACTGCTTCAGGCTTGTCACTGTTCAGGTGAAATGCAGTTATTGTATGTTACTCACAGCATTCAGCCTGCTGCATTGTTTGTTATTAAAATCAAGTCTTTATGGTTCTGAAAACTTGTTTTGCAGTATGTGAACATTGCATGGTCAAATCACAGGCATGTGAGGAGTTGCTTGTGAAGAAGTCGATAGACTCCTAGTACCTTTTTCTTCACAATTAAGTTTGCAGTATCTTGTTATTGTTATACCAGGCTGACCATACAAATCCTTCTTCCATTTTTCATACATAATTACATTAGAGATAATTCCATCAGTATCCTGCTCATGTGTAATGGGATCTATGTGATTAAAGGGGCAGTGGAATTGTACCAGTAGCCTACTCTCAAATTAATGGAAGCTGAAGTCCAATAATATCTGCAGAGGTAAGTGTTGCCCATCCCTAGTTTACATATTATTAATACTTCTGGGTCAACCACTTTAAAACACAGATCCTGACTCAGGCAGGTTCTGTTCCTCCTAAACTGTTACCAGGAACTCACTACAGCTGGAACAATGTCAAGTCTCTTCTTCCTCTTTTCAGTTATAGACAATTCTGCAATTGTAAGCATGTTCTTTACTCATCTGTGATTCAGACTAAAAGTGTGGTTTTCATTTTTAAGCAACCAAAAGCCTTACAATTTTGCAGGGTATGTACTGTTGATCAGTACAAACCACAATTTCACCAGTATGTGTGGGAAGTGAATATGGATTTTAAAGAGTGCTTAAGCAGGCAATTAAATCTACCTGAAAGGTCTCATTTTAGCCCTTTCCCACAAAATTAAAAGGCTATTGGGTCTGTGTGACTTTCATGGCCTTGCTTGCCAATGTCTGTGAACTGCAGGGAGAAAGCTTATGTATGTAGAATTCTATATTTCTAGGTTTTCATGGGAACTGAAACTTCTGAAAAGTCCCAGAGTGCTATATTCCCCTTACATATGTTTACCTATCAGGGTGGAGGGCTACTGGAAAGCTATCCAACCTTGACAATACACAGCAAGTAACTGCCTGGAAAGATTATAGAGATTACAGACTTGTCAAGTCACCCTGCCAAACTGTGGATTTTCCAATTGAGAAGCTTCATAATTTCAGTTCAGATAGCATTTTAGGAGGCTGGTTTATACTACATCAGACTTTGTATGTGTACTACAAGATTGTTCGTTCCAACCAACAGCTTTCCTGCATGTCAGGCAGAAGTCTTCCTTGGCTAACCAACTATTTTAATAACTGGAAATACCAGCTGTTGAACTTGGGATGTCTGGGATGTTCTGCATGTGCTCAATTTGCTGAGCTATTTTCCTTTGCCAGGAACTTAGTTCTTGCATGTTTTGTCTTGTAAACAGATGTTTTTGCATATCTAAAATCAGCCTTTCTGCAACAGCATGATGCTACCTAGGAAAGAAACAATGGTCGTGACCACTGCTTAGTTCGTGGGCAGTGAAGAAAGCCAGTCCACTGTAGGGGAGGGAGATAAGGGGGAGATTAACTGGGTCTGGAGCTGGCCCAGTGTTTATTTTAGTTTATTTTTGTGCTGGAGCAGATATGCCAAATATGACTCTTCTGGTAAGAAATAACTGTAACTACAATAATGAATTAGCAATTCAAGACCCTTTAATAGTAGCCTAATATCTCCACAGTTTAAAAGCATATGCCAGCTGTGAATAAAATATGAGTGGAAGTAACTGGAAAGCTAAGGCAAAGGCTGTCAGCTGTTAGCTGAGTATGTTACACAGATAGGTCTACCAACTTTTTTGACGCATGACTGGCTGGACAGCCCAGTCGTTTAGGTATCTGGGAGTTCAGTGCCCTACTGTTCCTCCTGCAAGCAGAGCCAGCCTGTGTGGCCTTGAGCAAGCTGCACTGTCCTAGGGTACCCTAGAAGAAGAGAATGGTAAACTATTTCTGAGTATTCTCTACCTGGAAACCCCTGAAAAGGGTCATCATAAATCAGAATTAACTTGAGGGCACATGATGATGATGATGAAGAGAAGCTGAGGGAACTACAGTGTGTTCGTCAGTCTGGAGCAGAAGCACATTTTTAAGAGGTAATTTCAGCATACCTAATTAAAAACTGAATACCAAAGTATGGTGGCATTGGATTAATTTCAATATTTGGTGATTACAGCCCACGTCCTCGGATCTCAGGTTTCTGGACCTGTGGCACGAGGCTTACGCCCTTCCTATAAGCAGGGTTAGCCCGAGGCTCAGCAGCAACTTTCCCGCTCCCAGGCCAGCCAAGGGTAAGTCTCCCAAGACAGCAGGGCCCACTTCTAATCCCTTTTCCCAGCAATTACAAGTGATAGCATATTAAAACAATTCAAAACAAAACAACACCCCTCCCCCCGCCTGCCCTGTCGTGGCGCGCACCACGAGTGGCCGCCTCGCTTAAATGCTCAACAGACACTGTGAGAACTCTTTGGAAAACAGGAGGCGTGAGAGGAACGAACGGGGTTGACCATAATAATGGAGAGAAAAAAGCGCGCGGGAATTGCGGAAGGCGGTGGCGAGGGGAAGAGGAGGAGAACCCGACCTTGGCAAGTCGAGCCCTCCGGAGGCATTGCCTGGGGCGCTGCTGAAGCCACACAGTGGGAGGGCCGACTTCCCTCTGCGTCCTCCTCGCGCGGTTTCCCTTCCCTTGAGGCTGCACAGAAGGCGGCGAGAGGAGCCCTGCGCGTAAATGTGCCTCTGCCGGAGGCTGAAGGACTTGGCTTGGAAGAGTTTAGGATAGCGCCCGGGTCGGTGGCATGGCTCTCTCGGGAAGCTGCGGGATCCTGGTCGGACTCTTTGTTTTCACCACCAACATGCAGGTAAGTAAGACTCCGTGAGAGGATTTGGGGGAGGGGGGCAAAGGGGACGTAAAGGCACACAATCTCCTAATTCCTGGGGAGCTTATTGTGTATATATGTGCTTGTGCGCGCGTGTGCTTTAAAATTCCCGTTGTTGCATTTCTATCCTGGCAATCCGGAGCTAGAAATTTACTGCTTTAAGATGGGCTTTCTGTGGCGAAATAAACATGCGAGAGAGAGAGAGAGCAGAAAGGGCAGAGCGCAGTTTCTTGAGCTACATCCCACGTAGGAATTTTCTGGAAAAGGACAAGTTTTCTGGGATGTGCCCATACGCCTGGGCGTAAGTCCCATTGCACTCAGCGGTGCTTATTTCCTAAGTAAGTATAAATAGGATTGTGCTATAAATCAAGTAGCTCTTAAACCTTGTTGAGATCAGGGGAGTTAAGAGTAACCAGTCACGGAGATTTCAGCAAGATGTATGTCCGGGGAATGTTAACTGGATCCAACTCTAATAATTTAAACGAATGTTACCACTCCAAAATTATTTTCTTTGAATTAATATTTATTTTAATACAAGTAATTCTCACACAAGCATAGTAAATATGAGTGTGTTAATGTGCCATAAAGTTGGAAACAATTTATAGCGACTCTAATGGCATTTGCAAGGTAAGTGAGATACATCGTACTTAAGTACAGTACGTAGTAGTTTTACCAGTGCCAATCCTTCAGGGAGTTTGCATGGCTGAACTGGGATTTGAATATGGATCTTCTGAATCTCAGTCCATCACTATCCACCACATTAGGTATTTACACTAAGTATAGATTGCCTTTGTTTCCACAGGAATAAAATAGCGCAGTGATTTAAGTCTCTAGCTGTGAGCCAGAGGTCGGGAGTTTGATTACCTAGTGTGCCTCCTTGGCAGGAACTGGACTTGATGATCCATAATGTCCTTTGTATCTCTGCAGTTCTAGGATGATGATGATTGTAATGTCCTTTGTATCTCTGCAGTTCTAAGATGATGATGATGATGATGATTATTATTATTATTATTATTATTATTAAAGGTGGTTGGGGAGAAGCAATTTTGGGGGGTGCATTCCCCTCCAACATGTATGTCAAAAATACACAATGTACAGTACATTTAGCTCAATTTTGGGGGGTTCATTCCCCTCCCACATGTATGTCAAAAAATACACAATGTACAGTACATTTAGCTAAAGGCAGCGGAACAGAAAATGAAATATCCAAAATAAATCCTCATAGGTTGCAACAATTTGAAAGCCTACCTTAAAGAGGAGGCTTTGGCTAACTGGAGAAAAAGTTTCAAAAGGATGCATGTGTCACTCATAAGTCTCCAGGGAAAAAAGAGTTCTAAGTAGAAGGCATAACTACAGAGATGGCCCAAGACTTTATCATATAGTTTTCTTCTTCATGACGAACAAGGAGATCCTAAGCAGAACTTGAAGCGCTTCCTTTGGGGGATTCCAGACCCTAAAATCTTCCAACCAGCATGGCCCGCTAGCTGGTCAGTGGCAAGGTTTCCAAGTTGTGGTCCTAGGGCCTCCTCTCTGATTATTTCAGAGAGGTAATCCCAGAAAGGTAGTCCCAGAAAGAGAAACAGAGGGAGAGAAAGTTTTTTTCTATACTTTCTATTTCTTACAGCTGCTCCTTATCTAGAACAAATATCTCCTTAGTGTCTTGAGACTCCAATAAGTTTTGAAGATAATAGAAGAAAACAAGCCATCCTCAGCTAATCTTTCAAGGGTATGTGAGGCCAGTTAGGCTTCACAGACAAAGGCTATCTAGGGATATAATTGGTATGTGGTTAAAAACAGCAACAGGAACACTCAATGAGTAGAATGTAGTGAATCCATGCTTTCCATTTTCTTTTATTCTCTGTTTTCTGATCGCTATTGGAACTAGCCCATTAGTTCACTGAGTGGTGGTTTCCATTACAGTGACTGTTCTTCCAGCTGGAAAGGTCTCCAATGATGTGGGTTTCACCACTTCCCTTGGGAAGCTATCCTATAAATTAAACTCTGTATTTAAGCATTAAAACATTCTTTAAAAAAATAAGTGGCAGTTCTTATTGTAATGGACGATTTACTTCTGTTTTTCTCCTGTTTAGCATCTCCCAACTTTTCTTTTTTATTTACATTTTTCTACTCACTTTAATTATTTTTGCAAAATGGTAACAAATCCATAAAGAAGATAAAAAAAAGTAGGCTGTGATGCAAAGGTACATTGGGGCAATTATGCAATGCCATGTTCTGTGAAAAAGCAAGCTTAACAATATTAAAAGACCTATTTAGGAATCAAGTAGTGAAAGCTTATTGAATGTACAACATCAAATCCCTGGCACATGAAAACCTCTGTTTCATTATTTAGAAGTACAACATATGGTGAATCAGACGGTTAGAAAATATTGGCCAAATTCTTAATAGGGATTTATAATAGCATACGCTTAATTGTGTAAAACGCAGCAGCAGATTACGACTGATTATCAAGAGCCCTGGCTGAGGGAAAAGGTGGAAAGGGGATTTTTACTCCCTTCTGTCTCCCAGTCTTCAACCCAACGATTTCTGCTCATGTCAGTACTGCCATCACAAGCCTGATCTGCTGCCACTGTCACCTCCTTACTCATGAGTAAATTAGGTAAAGCTTACTTGTGAGTTAACTGGGTATGCTTACACATGAGTAAAGTGGCAATCCCAAGACCTACCTGGACCCTTCTCACAGGAGAATAAACATCTCCAGTGCGAACCAGACCATTCCAAATTTTGGACAGTCCTTTAGGCTGATGGCATCATCAGCTTTACTCAGTGTAATTTATAGCAACAAGATTTCAGCTATTGTGTCAGAACTTGAATGAGTTTTCATTAATTACAGTGTAAATTGTATTTCACTTTGCAAGGGTTAAATAACGTCTACACAACAGTTAAAGATAATTGCTGGAATGATAGAGTAGTCCAGATAGGTGGGGTATAAATCAAATAAATAAATAAATAGAGGTCAGGTATAGCTGTTTGCTTAGCATTCTGATATTGTCTTTTAATAAGAAAAAAATTACATTTCTACTTCACCACCACTCCCCAAAAAAAAAGAAAAGAAAAGAAGGCAAGTTAAGTTTTGCCATTAATACTATTTTCTTATGTAAAAGAGCTAGTGGAAATCAGAAGACATAGAATTAACTGTGCCATTATTAATAACAGTTGGTTTCTAGTAACCGGAAAAAACTTTCTCTGAAGAAGATAAAATAACTATACAGAGGACACGGCTTATATAGTAATAAATAATAATCATGTCCCATCAAGTCAATTCTGACTTATGATTATCCTTTTTCAGGGTTTTTCAGGTAAAGAATACTCAGAAATACAGTAGTTTACCATTCCCTTCTGAGATTGGCCTGGGTTGTGCAGCTTGCCCAAGTCCACACAGGAGAGTGGCCTGGGGTTGTGCAGCTTGCCCAAGTCCACACAGGCCGGCTCTACTTGCAGGAGGCACAGTGGGGAACCTCTGGCTCCACAGCCAAGTCTCTAAACCACTGAGTTATATGGCAAAATTCCCCAATTTAATTACAGTAGAATTTGACAAGACAGAGAAGACAGTCATTTTGTAGCAAACTGGTTTATATGGTGTATCAGTTGATGTAACAAACTGATTCACCATATTGTTGTACGTATAGTTGTTTGCAAAGAACGTTTTAAAATTATATACCATATTTGTGGGAAGAGAAACTGGATGGACAATGTCACCTAATTTCTCCATAGGAAAGATAAGTTCTCTAACAACGTCTTAGAGGTAGGAGGCTCATCATTAGCTGTGGTTGTAGGAAAGCTCTATCCTTTTCCTCATAAGAATTTTTAAAGTTTCTTTGGCAAGAACTACTATGTTCGCATTCTGGCCACCATTTTAGTTTCTTTACACCTCCGTCCCATTGGTTTCATTCTAGAGTGTTGTTAGCAGACACCTTAAAAATGATGGAGAAGTTTGGAATATTTTTTCAAAGCAGTTTTTCTCTCTTACTCCAGATTTTAGAGGAGTAAGAGAGAAAAACTTCAGAACATTTATCAGAAAAATGTATTCTGACAGATTTTGGCTCAACACCTGTGCCATTCTTTAGTATTCAACATTCCCCCCCCAGATCTTTCAGATGTTGTATTTAGAGGGTCTTTGTCTATAATACTTCCTTGTATTAGGGTCTGTCTGCAGTGTCCCTTAGTTTACAACTGATAATATTCACCCACCTTGACAATATGACAAAATGGGGTAAAGAATGTGGACTTTGAAGGGTTAAATATATTGTGCAGAGTAAATGTCTAATAATAAGCAGATGCATGATAATGATAATTTTCAGAGTGATTACTTGTCTCTCATTCAGTGTGTTTGTTCTCTTTCGCAAAATCACCACCCATGTATTTATGGTTGACTTTTATTTGTGATTTGTGGTAAATTGTAACAACTGCGTGGGAAAGGGAGATGTGACAACAAGTATGACTTTCCCTATTAAACCATTTTCCTCTAAGAAGCATCCTTTACATTCTTAGTTTCTACCTATCACATAAGGCAGGTGAACATGACAAAAATGGCAGCCCTAATTATAGCCTGACACCTAAAACAATGGGATATAAATCTGGAAACTAATTTCATAGCATTTTCCAATGCAATTTGGCCCATAATTTTAAAATCACCAATGCAATTAACCCAGGCTATCCTCAGGTGCAGCACTACTTATTTCTGTCAGTGTTGCTGTCAGTGCTGCACAGAATGTGGCAGAGCTGCACAAGGATGTATACAGATATCAGTGCCTGAGAAACAGCTCAAGCAGAAACCATGGTATCCACCTGGGTTCGCCTTTTGTAAGCTGCATAATAGTGAAGGGCATTTGTAGGCAACTTCATTCTCCCCAGGTGTTTCGGACTAAAATTTCCATTATCCGCAGCCAGGATTGGTAATCAGTGGCAACTATGGAAGTTACTACCTCAAACATCTACAGTCGTACCCCGTTTTATGATTACCC